ATGAATTGGTTTTGGAATCAAAATTGGGCAATTTGAGTTTTGTCCATGCGTACAAAGGCTATTCAACCATGTGTACACATAGCTTGATCCTGCAGACACAAAAGCAAAAATGCTTGTACCATGTGCACGCATGGATTATAGTAAGCATACGAATAGGTTAAAAAACTTGCCGTTAGGTTGGTTTTTAAATTTGATTCTCTGCAGCTTTTCATGAAAATACTCAACTTTTGATGTTAGCATAACACTATTTCGTGGGTAATGAATTAAAATCTATAAATAAGCGATAGATCTCAATTACAAATACAACAAATCAATAATCAAAATCATATTTTAGTTCTTTTAAATTCAATTGATTACATATTCAAACATTCAAAGTGTTCTTCAACTTTTTGGAGGATAAATACAAGTGTTTAAGTATTTTCTTCCTCAAGACTTGATCAATCCTACAAAACATTTGCCAAGAGTCTATTTAAGCACCAATTAAATCGTAGATGGAGCAAATATCATTTGAGGACAACGATTTCGTGTTTGAGCATTTATACAATATTTAGCGTTCTTGATTCTTTCTTTTTGTTATCTTTTCCATTCCTTTGAAGGATAATATTCCAACACCATTTACTTAACATCAATTTAGGTGATAGTTACATTAGGAATGACAAATTTTCATGTCCTGTCCCGCATGGCAAAGGGAATGACAAAACATGGAAACGACTTTCTCGACCTATCTACCTTATTGTCATCCCTATATGGGGTTACTGTCGCATTATTAAAAGAAGTTGAGATTAATAATGATCACAGTGCATCTAAACTAGTATTAGATAGTACTATTGAATATTAATTCACTGAAAAATAGCGTCGGATGGTTATAATCATCTCACGAAGTAACACACATGCAATGGTGGCTAGCTTCCTCGCTATAAGGGCTAAGTTGACCAACGAAACATTGGAGTGAAACAGTGAATATGCTATTAAGAAAGAGTTTTGCTATTCATCCAAGACCACGTGGGCACAGGACCAGGGGGCGCCACTGGGCGTCTGTCTATACAGACGTCCAACCAATAGGGGGTGCCACATGCGCCCCCAGTGGCCCTATCTAGCAAAACTAATCAAGAAATAGATCCTCACCATAGATTCAAGAGGAGTTTCTGGCTTGTGTGGCACTGAACCAAACAATATCTAAGCATGAGTGAAAAATTGCTTTGTGGGCTTGCCAGTTACTTCATTGTGGATACTCTAAATCCTTGACAGAGCCATCAAAATGAACAACCCTAATGCTCTTGAATTTATAAATATTGAAGATCTTTTGCAAGAATAACTGCCCCTACACTATGAATTTTGATCTTGCAAGAAAAGTCTAATAATAGTTAAAGAAAACAAGGCAAATACAGTCTTTGAGGCCATTTACATACCTTTAGGCTTGGATTAAAATTTCTCTATCAAAAGTTTAATAGGCGCATAATATATTGTAAATGAGTTGACACTGAGATGTGAACTTAGATCTTCACTTGATTCCAGTACTATGCTATCTTTAAGTTGTAAAAGATAAACTATACATTCATTAAATCTTCTTTTCAATAAAAACTAATGAAACACAATAATAAAAATAATATAAGATTTAACCGTCGTTTGGTTTGAATTAGAATTCAATTAAAATTTCAAGTTAAAGTCAACAAATAATTAATATAATAAAAATTTTATAGGATTCACAAGTTTCTAATGACACATCTCATCTACTTTTATCAAAATTTCTTAAAAATCTGATTTTAACCAATACCAAATAAGAGCTTTTAATCTAATTAAAAAATAATAATAATTTAGTGAATTCCCCCCCCTTTATTATTAGTCATCTAACTTTTTAAAATTCACCCTTCAATAACTCTTATCAATCTCCTGTAGCATAGAAGTAATGGAAAAATTATTTGGCAACATTCCAATGTTAAATTGAGAAATGCTAGAT